AGAGAGCTGGATAATGGAGATGGAAAGTTCTAGAGGGATTGGAAACTCCAGGGTGGGTGGAGGCAGGTCACTGCATTAAATAGGTTGGTCAGTGTAAGTCTCACTGTGGTGAGATTTGGCTTAGAGGAGATAAGAGTTAGCCTTGGGTATTTGGGGAAAGAACATTCCAAGAAGATGAAACAGCTGGAGCCAAGGCCCTAAGGTGGAGACATGGTGACCAGAGTAGCAGGGTAAGAATGAGTAACAAGGAGAGTATCAGGAGAGGAGGTTGTTGAGGTAAGGGCGGTGAGATCCTGGAGGGCCTGGTAGACTCTGGAAGGATCTTGCCTTCTAAGGGAAATGGGGATGGAGCATGGAGTGACATGATTTGATTTATGTTTTAATGGATTTCTCTGGATGCTGTTTTGTTGAGAATAGACTGGAGGGGAGAGGAGGCAATGGCAAAAGCAGGAAGACATTAGGAGACTAGAAGTCATCGACTGTTGTGTCATTTATTATTGTAAAACTTAGCCGCTTAAATCAGAAAATATTTATTGTCTCATAGTTTCTGATGGTCAGGAATCTCAGAGCAGCTTAGCTGATTGGTTCTGGCTTAGGGTTTCTCATAAGGTTGTAGTTAAGTTATCATTTGGGGCTATTAATAAATTTAAGCCTTGACTCTGGATAATCTACTTAAAATTCACTCATGGGGTCCTTGGTGGTCCTCAGTTTCTCATTAGCTGTTGGTCAAGGTGTCATTTCTTCCCCACAGTAAGTCAGTTTGCTTTCCCTGGAGCAAGAGAGGGGGGAGAAGGGGAGGACGGAGCGGGGTGGGGGAGAGAGAGAGAGAGAGAGAGAGAGATTGATTGAGAGATATTGAGAGATAGAGACTGAGATTTACCAAGATGGAAGTTGCAGACTTTTATTATCTAACTCTGGAAGTCACTTTTTGCCATATGCTCTGGTCATATAAAGCAATTCTGCTACAATGTGGGAGGGAACTTGAGGAGGTAAGGATCACTGGGGGCCTTCTAGGACAGAGATGAAAACAGATTTTTTCAACTCCAAAACCAGCCTCCTCTTAGATTAAGATGAAAAAAAAAAAAAGCTCCAAAATAAACAAAACAAAACTAAAAAAGAAAAACTACTGCCCTCTTAGGAGTTACGAAAGAAATGGAGGATGAGAAATGTATTGAAAGGGTAATTTCTGTGAACACTTCACTGTCCTCATTTTTGTTTTGTGGTCCCAGGTGAAACAGATTTATGCCTGGATCTGTTGGCTGCTACTACACGTATTTTTAGGAGGTGAAGATGTTGTGTGATAAGTTTTATATGCTTCTTTTCAGCAAAGCATTCCTGCATTAGGCTCTTATTGAGGCTTGGGGGCGGGGGCATGGTAGCTTGTCTCTGCAGAATGATCTGGAGCTTTTCTCGACTTGTTGGTTATGATCTCAAATTGCATGACTGCTTCACCTCTTTCACTACTAAAGCTGATGACTCATCTCCCAACTGTTCTCCCAACAACCACAAAATGAAGTAGTGGATTAAAGGAAACAAATGAAGAAAAAAAGTTATATGTGTGATCTAACCCAGCCTTAGCCTTGCTGTGAATGCTTGAGTGCTAATCTAGACTTTTCTCCAAAGAAGGACCAGGAGTCAGGTTTATAGTTTTTTAGTTCTGTGTTCGAGGCTACCCAGAATAACATACATAAAGCTACACAAAAGATATTTAGAAAGTTGACTGGAGCAGAATTAGAATCGCCATTACAAAAGACCAGTGATGAAATCAACTTCAGAAAGTGTCCCAAACTTTGGTAATAGCTGCTCTGTAAAATCTTTCCTTTTTTTTTTTTGTTTTCAAGTCTACATTTTGCTTAGTGTATCAAAGAGATGATTCTGTTTTTATAAAACTAAGCTTTATTGAACAGTGCTTTGTACCAAAAAGATTGTAATCTGTGAAGAAAAATTTCAAAGTCATTACAAACTTAAAGGGAAGAGCATAAAACGCTCCTGTGGCCATCAAAAATGTTAAAAGAAACGATGAGTAAAGTTGTGCTTTTTCAGAATATTTCTTTCCATTAATCATGTGAGGATTCATCAGCCATTTCATCATAAGGGAGGGCCTGATGAATCTAAATTTATGAGAGAACATTTATGCTGGGAACAGATGAAATCAGCAATTCAGGGAGCTCAGCAGGAGGGAGTAGGGACCTGAAGAAGGAAGATTCAAGGAAAAATCTCTCCAGTGAACCAGGACACTACTTAGTGTAAACCAAGAGTTGGCTCTTATTCTTCAGCCGGACACTTCTTGCTAAACTTGTGGAAAGCAGCCAGTGTTGTAATTAACACCCCCACCCCCCAGCAATATATGCTCCTCTTAGGCATAAAAGAGAATTAAATCCTCATCTTTTTTGATGATAACGTCACTGCAAATAACATGAAGCTTTTCATTCCTTTCTGTAGGACTGAGCATTTTTAGGAAGTGTACATGATACCTGAGCACTCGTGGGCAATGATTAGGGTTTTGAATCTTCTACTTTACCCTTTAAGGGAAAGCTGTAGACCAGGCATCCAGGGTGGCCCCAAATAAACCGCTGTGGTGGCGATGGAGGGTGGTGACACTGCCACAACATCGGCCCAACCCCTCTGCCTTCCTGGTTCTCTCCAGAGGCCTTACTCTTCCACTTGTAGACTTTTAGGAGTCCACCAACATTTCTGTCTCCAAATCCAACCTTACCCTCTATGATTAGTAATTTTTACAACATGAAAATGTTCTGTGACTGTTAGATCAAGGACTGTAAATTCTTCTAGATGTCTTTCCAAAATGAATACAGATGTGCTCCTTTTGTCAGAAAATTCTGTTTTTCTGCATTACCAAGATATTTTTCACCTTAAAAAATATTTCCCACATCTGCCCACTTTAACATTGACCAGCACATTCCTACCTTTCTTCAAGTCTTTGTAGAAACTTTGGTTCCTCCTTAATCATCTCATTGGGGTAGTCCCCTATCACGTACCCTCACAACACCATCCGTTTCCCTTTCTCTCTTTTATTGTCTGTGTGGTCCTATCTCTGCCCCACTGGAGAGCAAGCTACAAAGGCTATGGGACAGTACCTGTATCCTCAACAAATAGCACGGTGTCTGGTACCTATTGGGCTGTCAAACACTTTGGAATATTGCTAAATGAAAAACTTCTTCATTTTCCCTTTAACTGATAATTATCTTTAGCACTGTTAAATTATAATCAACTTGACCCGAAACTGATATATCCACAAACTTTACAGGAACATAGAACTGTGCAGTGATAATAATATCTGTTATTTTTATAGCATGTACAGTTTATAGAGCTCTATTTTATCTACTATTTTATTTGATTCTCACAGTCACATTGCAAGGTAAGCGGAGAGGGCATTACTATTCTTACTCCAGGACACACAAAATACCTGAATCTCAGTTTCCCACTACATAAGTGGTGAGCAAGGACTCACTTCCATGTCACCACACTGCTGAATGGTTAGTAAATCCCTTCACCAGGGTTTTTCTCGTTTATTTCCAGAAACTTGATTATACCCTTTTAATCCAATTCATTCGTAGTTGGGTTAATATTCTCTCTTCCTAATCAGTTCTACCAAACCACTGGCACAAAGAGTTCAAATCAGAGACCATTTAGCCTATAATTCCAACTTGCTAATTGTGAATTTCTTGTTCCCCATCCCCAAATATATCTTATCAATGTCAGTGTCATTTTCTGACCTTATGCCAATGCACGGCACCGTGCTGGCACATAAAGGACCCTCAATACACTGTTGAGGGCTCACACCAGTTCTCCATCACAAAGTGAGCTGAGAGACTATCTACCATTGGAAGGTCCTGTAGGAATGTCAACAAAAAAGGACCTCTTGTAGAACAGAATTACCATCGGAGGCCCTTGGTGGCTGAATTTCCATTGATTAATGTAGGTTTATCAGTGGAACCTACAGGATTAGGTGTCGCCTTCACTAATCCTGTCATTCGTCCGAGTCATGTTACTATGAGTAGACATAGGTGTTACTGAAATACAATGTCTTATTGTTCCATCTTGTTTCCATTTCAACAAACAAGTGAAAGAGGGCCAGGAGGTGAGTGCCACAGCCTCTCCATCTCCAAGCTTCTTGACAGCTGGGGTCCTGACTGGGCAGCTGCTGAGGACTGTCGTGGTCTTAGGCTATTTGAGTCATCACATCTCCTTTAGAAATTGCCTCCATTGTCAATTGATGATTTACCCAAGTTTAGCTTGGTTAGGATTGATAAATGATTACTCTAGCCCCTTTCTGTCAATTCTCTACTGAAACCTCTACTAAAAATTCTCCAGACATTCCTCACTCTCCGTGATGATTTTTTGTAACCTGTAGCTTCTCTGTCATTTAAATATATACAGTAGGCTCCTGTGGCAACACGGATTCATACGTAAAGTCTGTCTCATCTCTGTTGTTTCGTATCCTTATTATGCAGCATGTCTGCAATATGTCTTGTTTGCTGAGTAGCTTATATTGCCTTTTTTAATTAAGAGACTTTTGGATTGGCCTATAATTCACTAGCCACTTCAAATGTAGATTAAACTTGATAAGATAATTTTTAATAATCATTAATGTATGATTATATTTAATATATTACACATATTTATCACTAGAACTCAGAGTTAAATGAAACCTACTTCCCCTGTGTTTCATTCTAGTATTCATTAATGAAAAATAATCAAATAAAATGATTTGGCTCCTAGGATGATTGGCTATGGGAAACCAGGTGTGAAGGGGACCAACTTATACTACTTAGACAACCTTTTAGAGGTCATTATTACTTCTCATAGAGCGTGAAAAAATAAATCAGTGGCTTTATCAGTGCAATGTGGCAGGCACTTTAGTTTTAATCTTCCCTTGTCCTCTATTCTGGGGACGTACAAATTAACCATATCACGTGTATATTAGTGGGATTAGGAACATTTCTCTGATAATGAACCTCACATATCTCTTGCTTTCATAGTAATAAACGACTGGTGGCCTTAGTGCCCATGCCCAGTGACCCTCCATTCAACACCCGAAGAGCCTACACCAGTGAGGATGAAGCCTGGAAGTCGTATTTGGAGAATCCCCTGACAGCGGCTACCAAGGCGATGATGAGCATTAATGGCGACGAGGACAGCGCTGCTGCCCTTGGCCTGCTGTACGACTACTACAAGGTACATCTGCAGCCCCACCTCCCTCCTCCTGCCCCGGGGCCGCCCCCTGATGCTTGGAAGAGGGGAGATAGATGCTTTATCCCAGGCCAGAGAATGAATGATATTTCCACTGTCCCTGTGGAATTCAGCCTCTTTCTTTTCTCGTTGCCTTCCCACCCATGAAGCACAACTTCACCACTTACCCAGAGGAAGTTGCTCTCCGTTCACATGCATACCTATTATCTATATATAATTCCTACTTCATGTCATCCTGCAAATACTTTCTTGCTGTTATTTTTACTTTATGATTATTATTTTCAGTGAATGAAGAATATTACATTATGTAGCTGTACTATAGTTTAGTCATTGCTCAGTTGTTCGGCATTTAGTTTGCTTTTAGAATTCCATTTCATAAGAAACATTCATGGTTTCCAGACATTTCAATTTTATAAGGAATATTCCAATGAATGCTTTTGAGGTAGACTTTTGCAGCAATTCCAAAACCTAATTTTGTTACAACACTGTCTTCTTTTGTTTTGATGAGTACTAAATATTTTGCAAAACCTTTAAAATAAAATGAATGTAATTCACTTATATTACAAAAATATCTACCAGACAGTGTACCTTCAGAATAGGAGTACTTAAGGAAATCAAGCAATAAACAAATAGTCTGTCTCAACTATAAAGGACCATACCTGGTATGACCCTTAGAACCTGTGAAGTGTAAAAAAAAACCAACAAAAACTAAATGAGATTTATTGCCTGCTTTGATTGTAAACACCATTGGCTTATGCTGGGGATTTGTATAAAGGTGATAACGGCGGTGTTTATTTTCCTGGTTGGGCACAGAGAACTCTTTATTTTTCAATAAGAACTGAATCCCCACCTCCCCCTCTCCTTCCATCATGAGAAAATCACCCAAGAGGAATAATTTTCCTTTGAGAAAGCTTCAGTCTTGATTTCCTGTTTCCTTTCTTCTTCCTACTTCCTGTTTCCTTCCAGCAGTCTCTACTTTTGCAGGTTGCTTTATTCCTTGTCTCACTTCTAAAGCAGTTTTCGTGCTTTCCAAAGATCTCCCACCACCACCAGCTCTAGCACTGCCTTCAGGCCTACTCTTTTGCCAGAGTTCCCTACAATCACTCTTTCCTTTTCCAGCTTCTTTCCATTTCCCCATTCAAACAACCAGGAGGGCTCCCTCTGTGGGAAGGTGAATGAAAGCCAAGCCAAGGTGGCCTTGTATAAGATGAAAAACAAGGTATGAGTAAACTAGCTGACAGGTCAGCCCATCTAGGGTGTATTAAATGAGGATGCTATTAACTAAAATAAACACATCTTTTATTGTCATAAAGTGGTGGAGAAATATATGAAGGACATTCCACCGGTACCCTTGCCAGTCTATGCTGACTTTTGCCCCTTACCAAGAGTGCGGTGGGCAGATTTTGACAGCCCTCTCCTGAAGGTGTAAAACTCCCAACATGACTCCTGGCATAGCAAGAGGGACTTTAACTTTGGGGGACTTGGGCTCTAGATGAAAGAATGTTTTAGAGCCTAAACGACATTTCATGTAAGTAGGCCAGTTTCCTCCAAAGAACAGGCAGCTAGCACCTAAAAAATGAGCTTGAAAAACAAAGATGGTTTCATGGTAGGCTTTCTTTCTCCTTTTCTTTGTTTGTAGTTTTATATTTTTAATCCTTTTCTGACTCAGGAGCTCATTTGAAAAACACAGGGTGAATTCTACATGTTTTGGAGTGAAAAATTTCAAGATTTATTGAAGATGGTACAGATGTATAGAACTTATCAAATTAGACTGCTTTGTGTTCTAGGCCATTTGTTGAGGGTTCAGCTTTATTAGACTTTTGTGTTACTACATAATATTCGGAAATGGTTTCATCCTTTGAAAGAAATCACAAAGCAATTTTCCTTTATGATAAAAAATAGCTGAAACTTGATAGTTTTATCAATCTTTAAAATCTATTATCACATTAAAGTGACTCTGATTCAATCACTTGGGTCATTACAACTTCTTTTATAACTATATTAAAATAATATGTTAGTTAATAGTTTTATAAGGCTTGGAGGAAATACATTAAGATATATTTTGAAGAAATATATTGTCCAATTTTTTAAATAGATTTTATTCCATCACTATGAAATGGGCGTAGTTATACGTATCTGTACTAGATGGCAATTCTTTTGTATTAATGAAAAAGACAAACATACATCAACACAAAAATCGTTAGTAATTTATGAAAGCAATATATTTTATTTCCCATAGGCTCAGAGGATAATTAAGTATTAGTAAATATGGTACCTGGATTACCTTTCCTCTTGTACATTTTTAATATTTAAAGGAGTTGAAATATTGCTTTCTGTAAATATTCTGAGTAGGGAATTTACATAAAACTCAATTTGTAGCCAAGTTTATAACTTTCTTTTGAATCAATATTTTCTGGGATTAATTTATTAATTTAGGCAATAAAATATTTAAATAAAATATTTTCTAAGACTGTGTGAATTAGGCAGTTATATGGCTTCTTTTATTTCCTGTAAGTTTTCCTACATTTTTGCTTGAAACATTTTAAATATTAAGGAGTTAGTCTTGTTTCCAAAAACTCTGGTCTATATGATCATTTTCAGGCCTTAGTTAGCCCTTTGGGTGTTCAGAGCTTATATATCCTGGTGTTAAAAGTTATAACGAAGTTAAATTTACTTTGCGGGTAGATCTTCTTTCTGTAGTAAATTAAATGCTAATAAAAAAAGATTCTATTTTATGAGGGTAAACTTTGGGAATTCACATTATTGTAACAATCCCTGCCACATTATTATTTAAATTCTATAGACTTTTTATATCGCTTTGGAATGCTATTTAATTTGTTTTGTAATATACACACATCATTTTTCCTTACTCTTAAGGTTGGAGTACATCGCCCCTCGGGGGACTGTAGTGGGCTTTGTTAGAGAGGAGTGTGTGTGACAAAGCACTCAACAAGAAATGCTGTTCCCTGTCCTTGGAATCTGGCTAAGGCATATCTTGGTATAATACTTTATACATTTCAAAGTCTAGTCACCTATATTTTAAAATTGTCACTAGGATCACTACAGTGAAGCCCGTCATGTTTTACATTTTATAGTTAGGCAACAGGAGGGTTTGCTCACAGTCACAGGTCACCTCTGTACGTTTCCTAATATCTATTCCATTACATTGTCTATATTGGACTGTTCAGGCTGCTGTCACAGATTACCACAGATCGGGTGGCTTGAACAGCAGACATTTATTTTCTCACAGTTCTGGAGGCTGGAAGTCTGGGTGCTGGTAGGGTTGGTTTCCGGTGAGACCTCTCTTCCTTCCTGGCTTGCAGATGGCCGTCTTCTTGCTGTGTCCTCACATGACCTTTTCTCTGTGTATGTGTGTGTGTATTCCTGATATCTTTCCCTCCCGTAAGAACATCAGTCCTGCTGAATTAGGGCCCCAGCCTTATGACCTCATTTAACCTTAATTACCACCTTAAAGACCCCATCTCCAAATACAGTCACAATTGGGGGTTAGGACTTCAACGTATAAACTCTGGGATCACACAATTCCATCTATAACACTGTCCACCAAAAAATGCCTTTTTTGAAACTCATTTGAAATGGGTTCAAATTTTTAAAATATACATTTGAAGCTACTTAGAGAATATCTATTATAAAAAATAACCAAATTGCTAGAATCTTTCATAATTAGGGGCTCAAATACTAGCCCAGTTTTCTATCCAGTTTAAGCGACTTTCCAATAGTAGCTCTAAAGCCAAGTGTAACCTTTTAATGAATTTTGGGTATAACAGAATAACATGACAGAGTCCATTAGTTAGCTGTTTTTAAAAGTGGTTTGACTTACTTTATCTCACTTTGTTTTCCCTGGATGGAGCTGGTGGTTCATAATCATCTGATTCCAGCTCTAGTGAAAATATACTTTCCTGGCCAATTGGTTTCGATCTATTCTGTTGACCAGGTACTCCTGGAAATCAGTTTGTTGGTTTGTTTGTTTGTCCATCCGTAAAGCCATCCATCTATCCATCCAGCCATCCATCCCACAGATACTCACTAATTAGCTGTGACCTTCCGACAATGGTAACAGATATTATAGGAGTGGATTGGGTATCCAAAGACAGATGGGACCCAGTTCAACACCTCAGAGTGGCCACACTCCAGGATAGACACAGTCCTATAAATCTATAACCACAGTGCGAGGCAGCAAGTGCTGTAAAAGGTATGTGCCCCAGGAGCAGTGAGGACAGTGACACTTTCCTAGAGAGTTCAGGATTTCCAGGGGAAGCAGTGCCTACTCTGTTGGGAAGCAGAGGAGGGTTTGTCAGGTGGACTGATGAAGAGAGAGCATTTCAGGCAAAGGGAACGAGATGAGAAAGCATGAGGTCTACATTCCAGGTTGCTTTCAGTGGAATCCAAGTAATCAGCCTTGCTTAACTGTGGGACGTGACTGAAGGGGATGGGCAGCAAAGATTGGTCAGAGGGTCGTCAATCACTGTGGAGGAAGGCAGGCTGGTGGGCTTTCAAAAAGGTGTCCCAGGGCTAGGTGCATGGCCTTGCTTTTTGCTGGATGAATGAGTGAATAAATGATTTAATATGTATTCATAAGCTGTTGAATTTTTTTTTTAATTGGGGAATTGGGGGGATGGGAACAGTGCTGGGGAATTTGGGGAAGGGGAACAGACAAGTTGCTGTCCTTTTGTTCTTCAGTCTAGTTGTAGAGGATGTTGCTTCACTGGCCCAAGTTGGCACCATCATTGTGCTCTTCCCATGCGAGGCAGATCAGTCACCGGCTTCT